GCTCTCAGCTTTTTTTGAATATCTGTTGCTGCTTGCATCATCAGGTGTTTCAAAGTGGGCCAAACGATTAATCGAGAGTCATTCACAGTCACTACTATCTCTTTTCCTTCCCATATCGCAGGGAGCAGTATTGGTGGATCAGGAACATAAGTCCAGTATAATTCAGCCAAGATCACTTTTGGGAACATCATCATCAGCCATGTTTGCTGCCTGTCATTCTTTTCCACTTCTCTTTCTGGCACTCGTCCGACCTTTCCAGCAGCCACCTGGCTCCATCTGCATCCTGCGGAAAAAGACAAACATGCCCTCGTCCCCATATCAATACAGGGTCGGGGCCATTCCATTATCTAGTTAGAGGATCCTTCCACCTGACTTGAGCATAGGTATCCTGTGACTGAGGATGCCACATTCTATCTGCTGCAGAATGGTCATTTTTGTCCAAATTCAAAAAATTTAAAGTGAAAAGGGTATGATGTAAGAGATTACTTGGTGTCTGGGGATATAACTCCCCTAAAAGGCAAGCATGTGCCATCTGCTTCCAATCGCCAGGCGGAAGCACATCTGTGGATGGGGATTCTAACAAAGCCTGGGTGAAAGGGGCAGTGGGGCCATACTAAGCACAAGCAGTTTTTAGCTCTTTTAGCTATTTAAACAGCACAGGAGCATGGCCCTGCACCTGATTTCCTTGCTGATCTACTGTCTCTGTGACAGGAAAAACCTGAAACCCTTGTACAGACTCCCCTCATTCTACTGTGGCTCCAATAGCCTGCTGCAGTGGGGAATTACATAGTTTTGAGCAAACTCCTGGCGGGGGCTTCTGAACTACAGCGACTGTGGGAAATGGAGCGACCTCAAGGGATTTAGGAGGAGGTGGATCCAATCCTGCTATAACAGAGGGTGTTGGGGTGGTCCTAGCTCTTTTTCCTACAGAGATCAGTATTGAGGCCAGAAGAGGGTGTCAGATTCCTTGGAACTGCCATTACAGTGGTTGTTAGCCACCATGTGGGTGCTGGGAACTGAACCCAGATCCTCTGCAAGAGCAGTCAGGGCTCTTAACTGCTGAACCATATCTCCAGCCCCTGCAGCATTGTTCTTTTGAGGAAACAACTGCTACAAACTGTAGAATCTTTTTAAGCTTCATTGGACCTTGCTAACACTTTCCTTTAATATCACCTTAGCTGCTGACTCCCGCAATCAACTGACCTTTGCTTGGAATGGACAGTGATAGACCTACAGAGATCTTCAAAAAGATCTCATTAAATGAGTGTTTTAATGCTAATCTCTGAGTGTCTTATAGATTTGAAAAATTGCCTAAAAATAAAATAGTAAAAACAACAGTAAGAATTGTTTGGGGCTGGAGAGATGGCTCAGCAGCTAGGAGCACTGACTGCTCTTGCAGAGGACCTGGATTCAATTCCCAGCACCCACATGGCAGCTACGAACTGTCCTTAACTCCAGTTCCAGGGAAATCCAAAACCCTCTTCTGATCTCCATGGCATTGCACAACACGGGTGCACTCACTTACATGCAGGCAATACACTCAAACACATAAAATTAAAACAATAAATATTTTTTTTTCTTTTTGAGACAGGGTCTCCCTGTAGCCCCAGCTGTCCTGGAACTCACTATGTAGACCAGGCTGGCCTCAAACTCACAAAGATCTACCTGCCTCTGCCTCCCAAGTGCTGGGATTAAAGGTGTGTGCCACCATGCCTGGCCTACAAAATATTTTTTTTTAAAGAATTGTTTTAAAGATATCCTGGATGGATGGGAACAGGCATGCCCAAAAGTCATAAATTTAATCCCAGTGCTGGGGTGAGCTATCTCCCTATGTATTGTTGGCCAGGGAGGCCTCTGAGACCTTACAAACCATTGCCATTGCTGTTGGTTGCATGCCAGTACCAGACTGTAAGATCCTATTGCCGACAACGTTGCAGGGCATGGAGAAATAAAGCTGGAACTGAGCTGGAAGCTCCCTCCTTGCTGACTGACTCTCATAGTGGTGGAAGATGCTATGCAGCCTATGGAGGGGAGAATTGTCACTAACACTCCTCCTGCTCAGCAATGGACTCTGGATGCTGAAGTACCAAAATGGCATTATAGGACATACCTGCTGGTGCAACGGTGACATGACTATCATGGGTATAACCAACAGCTTTCTGATTGATTTTAAGGCCTGTTCCACAGGAGAGAAAACATCTTGTACTGCAAGCCAGGACAAATATCTGTAGCTGGGGTAGTTGTGAGCCCCAGTGGTAAGATAATTCACATTGTGTAATGTACCTGTTAAACTACCTTCTAAACAAATGCTTACGCCCATAGATTACTGCTACTGTTAGCTATAGACTGTTACAGAAGGGAACATCATTTTGCAAATGATGATTTCCCACAGAGATTCATAATCATCCATGAAGCTTCTGTGGGGCTACTGTGTATAGTAGCCCCATGCTTAGCCATAGATGGACAGCTACATCACTCCCTCCAAGACTCAGGCAACATGACAGAAGACAGGGAAGAAAGAATTTAAGAGCTGGAGGAAGGGGTGAAGGGTTGTGTAGCAATTTCTTCCAAGTTGAAACATTCTATCCTGGAGGAGCAGGGAGGCTGATAGGACTCAAGATGTAAACAAACTTCACAAGTCTTAGAAAGCCAAAACTGCTCCCCAAGGACATAGAGGTAGAAGACAAGTAAAGGAGGAGGCTCCAGCAAGCCAAGCACCCTGGAGGAAACTTTCCAACATGCTGGGCTGCTGCAGGTCATGCGGCTCCAGGGTTCATGAGCTGTCCCCCAGGTTGGGGTGGGTTTTTGGTGATGCTTTTGAGTCATCTGTGCTTCTGTAATTCCTTACCCACACTCTTGTAAGAAACCCCATAACCCCAACAAACTCATTGATTCACCAAATTAGACTTGGTGGTATTGTTACTTTGGTTTACTGTTGGTTCCCTATCTGGGGTGAGTAGACATTTGTTCACATCTCTCCAGAAATAGTGTCACACAGTGTGTGTGTGCAATGTTACTTTAGTTATTCAGTAACCACCCCAATCAGGCTTCTACCCCATTACAACACTAACATTGCTCTGGGCAAGGTTGTCATTCCCACAGTGGGATGGTGTCATACACTAAGTTCAGTTTCATAGAAATGATCTGATTTAAGCCAGTGTGCCTATAATCTCAGCACTTGGGAGGTGGAGCCAGGAAGATCAGGAGTTCAAGGCCAGTCATACTTGTGAATTCAAAGTCAGTCTGGGCTACTTGAGACCCTATCTAACTCCCCTATGCCACAAAGAAGGGTTGATCCCCTTATTCCTGCTTATAAGGTGGTATCACAAACTCCAATATCTCCTTGTTGGCAAATATAGGAATCATTTCTTCACCTACCTTTTATTCAGTCTCTTAGTGTGGTATAGCATGATTGCCCAGTCTCTTTGTGGGTTTCATGAAACACTCTCCTAGTTGCCCTCCTACCTCACTACGACAGTTTGAATCTTAAATCTCCCCTAGAGGCCCATGTGTTACAGGCCTGATTGGGCACTATTGGAAGGACATGAACCCTTTAAAATGTGGGGCCTATTGGGAAGTCTTTAGCTTATTGAGGGTGTATCCTTGAAACAAATTATGAGGTTCTTGATCCCTCCTTGACTTTTTTGGCTCCCTGGTCATGAGGTGAGCATTTTTTCTCTATAATGTGCTCCCACCATAATGACCCAAAAGCAGCTGGGCCAAATGGTCATGGACTAGGACATCCAAAACTCTGAACCAACACAAATCTTTTTAAGCTGATTTTGCTCAGGCATTTGTTACAGTAACTAACACACACTGAATGTTCTTTTTCATTTCTACTTCTTTTGCAAAACTTTCAGATTTTAGAGAGTCCCAGAACCTGCATCCTCTGCTGGCTTGTGGTTTGGACACACCTGAGTGCCCATGACTTCCAGGTATATACGTCTGGTCCTGACCTCTTTATCTAAAATAGTCTCTTCACTTGGATGCCTAATGGGCACCTTGAATTTAGCATTTCCAGACCAGACAGACCCTCAAAGCCATATCTTCCTTTTCACTACCTTTTCCTTCTCCAATGACTCAGGGCCTTACACAGAGAGTTCCCCCAACACAAAACTGTCTTCCCTAGGCACACTCTTTTAAAAATATATATAATATTTCTTACTTATTCTTTGAGAATTTCACACATGTATACCATGTATCTTCATCATATCCACCCCATTCCCCCTCCAATTCCCCCTTTGCCCTCTCCTACATCCTCCTCCCAACTGCATATCCTCTTCTTTAAAAAAAAAATTATCCACTGAGTCCAATTAGTGCTGCCCATACAGACATACTCTTCCTCAGATCTCAGCTCAGCTGTTACCTCCTCTGAGCCTCTGAGGGCCTTTTGCCCACCCCAGTTTCTCATGTCTTCAGATCAGCATGACTGATGTACTTCCCAGAATTCATCGTCATCTGAAATTCTAATACACACAGTATTTGAATGTCTTGCTCCCCTCATAGTTGATTTTTAATAAGCATGCAGGCAAAGCTAAAGTCTTGCCTGGGCCTGAATTCCCAGAAGCTAACAGTCATGGCACAGTGATAGTTCTCAAAATTAGTTATTAAAGGAAATGTAACAACACATGTAGTTACAGAATAGTTGTAGGAAGCAGGGAGGTGGTCCTGCATACACATTTAAAGCTAAGACGGTGGGTAAATAAACTGGACCCTTGTGTCCCATGTTCCAGCTGGGTCTCAATCGCACCCTCAAGATCCCAGTTCCTCCCTGTCCCAGCACTGCCCACTGTCCTCCCCAGCTTTCAGTTTCTTAACCCATCCCCTCCCAGCCCTAAACTCTGACATGCTCTTCCTAGTGGCAGTGTGGCCAGGTGGGAACTCAGTGGCAATCCTGTTTTACCTAGACAGGACCTGGTGGGCGGGGCATCCCTGAGGCTGAACCACCTAGCCTTATTATAGTCCAGCTTGCACTAGAGAGCCAGACTCTGGTTAGCGCTATGGCTAAGTTCAGGGTGAGAGTGTCCACCGGGGAAGCCTGTGGAGCTGGCACATGGGACAAGGTGTCTGTGAGCATCGTGGGGACCCAGGGAGAGAGCCCCTTAGTGCCCTTGGACCGCCTTGGCAAGGAGTTCACTGCCGGTGCTGTGAGTACATTGGGAGGGGGCAGCGGTGGCAATGGAGGAAGGGTCCGGGGGACGACCCCTCTCATGCTAAATCATCCTTCTAGGAGGAGGACTTCGAGGTGACAGTCCCCCAGGACGTGGGCCAGGTGCTGATGCTGCGCGTACACAAGGCGCCCCCGGCGCTGCTCCTCCCTCTTGGATCCTTGCCGCCAGACGCCTGGTTCTGCCGCTAGTTCCAGCTAGAGTTGCTGCCGGGCGCTCATCTCCGCTTCCCGTGTTACCAGTGGCTGGAGGGGGCCGGGGACCTGGTGCTGCGAGAGGGAACAGGTGAGGGGACTGGGGCTGCAGGAGAGACACCCCAGTCAGTGGGAGGCTGGGGTTGGGAGAAAAGAAAGGCGAATGGAGAGGTGAACTGATGTGGACACTGAGTAGGGGCAGAGAGGACAGTGATGGTGCGTGCGGTAGACAGGGGAGGTGGCAGTCTGCAGCAGAAGAGTGGGGTGGGGGATGATAGAGGCGGCAGCAGTCCAACGGAGAGCAGCTGGAACCACAAGTGGGGTCTCCTTCAGTCCAGTCACCCCACATCCCTTCCTATAGCCAAGGTCTCCTGGGCAGACCAGCACCCGACACTCCAGCGCCAGCGCCAGCAGGAGCTGCAAACCAGGAGGGAGATGTACAGGTGAGAAGGGGTCTGCTGTTGGTGGAAGGGACCCTCTTGGGCTAGAAGGCAGCCTAGAACCACTGTTGGTGACATGGGGTGCCTGAACCTCTCCTAAGAAAGTGCTCCAGGACCAAACAGCAATGACATCATCAGGCACCTTTGAGAAATGCAGATTGTCAGGCTCTCTGACCTCCTGGCTCTGACCATGTTGGAGGGCAGGGAGGATTTCTATCTTAACAAGCTTTTCAGATGACTCTGGCACCCACTTGAAGTTTGAAAACCACTGCTCTAAAACATTTCCTGTATGTACTTCCTTGCCCATCTCTTTTGCTGTTTTTTCTCACACACATCAGGTTGTTTCCTCCTCCCATAACCATGGGCAGAATTTCAGGTATCTCCTGGGGAACCCAGAACAGTTCAGGCACCCTGGGACAGTCAAGGGTGAGACAAGAATGCTTTCTCTGTTCTTAGATCAGTACAAAGGACTTTTCCGAGTAAGGCACTGAATAAAGACAGGAAGCGCTCTCAAGTGGAGATTTTTCAAAAGATCTTGGTGATCTTCATCTTGTCTGCTTCCCAGATCCTGAACTGCCTGCTTTTGTTCCAGGAGGTCTCTGGAGACCAAGCAGCCACAGACTCACTTGGTTCCTGGTGGTACAGCATTTGTCATGAAAATCATTGCACTCAATCTCACAGTAGCAACCAGGGAGAGGGAGCAGATACTGAGGTCTTCTGGTCCCAGGTGATGCAGGGCCAGTGTAGACCCCAGCAGGAGTTGAGTTGGGAGATCTTAGCTAAGTCATCTAATCACTTTGATCTCTATTTTCTTCTGCAGAAGAAATCAAGAATACCAATCTCATTTGCATTAAGGAAAACAAGTGAGAAATGGTTTAAGAATGCAATTCAAGGCTGGCACACACCTTTAATCCTAGTGCTAGGGAGACCAAGGCAGGTGAATCTCTGTGAGTTCGAGATCAGCCTGGTCTGTATAGTGAGTTCCAGGCCAGCTGGAGCTACAGAGAGAGACCTTGTTTCCAAAAGACCAAAAAAAAAAAAAAAAAGGAATGCAGTTCATTTCTCAGTACCAAGTTTATTTTTTAAAAAATCAGGGCTTGGGGGCTGGAGAGATGGCTCAGCAGTTAAGAGCACTGACTGCTCTTGCAGAGGACCCGGGTTCGATTTCCCAACACCCACATGGCAGCTACTAACCATCCTTAACTCCAGTTCCAGGAGAATCCAAAGCCCTCTTCTATACTCCGCAGCATTGCATGACACGGGTACACTCACTTACATGCAGGCAATACACTCATACACATAAAATAAAATTAATTAATTAATTAATTAATTAAAATTTAAAAAATCAGGGCTGGGGTGTAGCTCAGTTGCTACAGTGCTTGCCTAACATTCAGGAATCCCTGGGTTTGAACCCCAGCACCATATAAACCAGATGTGGTAGCCTATATGTATAGTCCCAGCATTGATGAAGTGGAAACAGGAAGATCAGAAGTTCAAGGTCATCCATGGCTATATAGTGAATTTGGGTCTTGGGATACATGAGACCCTGCACTCACACACACACACATACACACACACACACACACACACACACACACACACCACAAAAAAAAAAAACAACTCAACAACAAGAATGTTAAGCTCTACATAAAAGTGTGTTGTTGCTATTATTTATGTCTCTGTTCTCTCTGTCCAGGTTCTTAGTATTATCATTAAAGTGAGGCTTCAAGTCACAGCATCAACATCTCCTGGGAACCTATTAGAGAAGTTAAGCTTTTGGGCTCAGCCTGCACCTACTAAGTAAAAACCCTGCAGTTTGCCAAAAGTCTCCAGATGAATCCTGTACAGATTAGTTTGAGATGCAGGCTTTGGCCACCACCTGGTGGCAGTGTACTTTAATTGCAAATTGTTCTTTAAAGTCAAAAGCTTAAATCTAAAAGCTTTTTTATGATTAAATTGTTTAATGCTAGAAATTGAAACCAGGGCCTTTGCATTCCAACCAAACATGCTACCACTGAGATATAGCCCCAGTCCTCTTAATTTTTATTTTTTGTTGATTTTTAAAAACATTTTATTTATTTATTTATTTTTATTTATTTATTTTATTTTATTTTTTGGTCTTTTTAAGACAGGGTCTCCCTGTATCCCCAGCTGTCCTAGAACTCACTATGTAGACCAGGCTGGCCTTGAACTCACAGAGATCCACCCGCCTCTGCCTCCCAAGTGCTGGGATTAAAGGCATGCACCACCACACCTGGCTTATTATTTTTATTTTATTTTTATATATTGCCTGCATTTGTGTAAGTGCACCCATGTCGTGCAATGCCCATGGAAGTCAGAAGAGGGCATTGGATTCCCCTGGAGCTGGAGTTGTAGATGGTTGTTAGCCACCATGTGGGTGCTGGGAATCAAACCTGAGTCTTCCGCAAGAGCAGTCAGTGCTCTTAACCACCAGAATCATCTCTCCAGTCCTTTTTTTGTTGATTTCTTTTAAATTTGTAATTATATTTTATTTACTTTGTGTATGTGTGTGTGTGTGTGTACACATGTGCATGTGCTGCAACATGCGTGTGGAGGGCAGAGGACAACTTGTAGGAATTGGTTTTCTCCTTCTACCATGTGGGACTCAGAGATCAACCTCAAGTTGTTAGGTTTGGTGGCAAGCTCACCAGCCCTACTTTTTTAACATATTTATTCTTTATTTTGTTCTTTGTTTATTCTGCCATACTTGAGATTAAACCTAGGGCTGTGTACATGCTAGGCCAGTGCTCTACTGCTGAGCTATAGTCCCTGCGGCTTCTTTAATCTTTAATTTTGAGACAAGTTCTCACTAAGTTGGCCAGACTGGCCTCGAATTCACTGTGTAGCCCAAGCAGTCACTGAACCTCCAATCTTCATGCCTCAGCCTCCTGAGTAACTGGAATTACAGGTCTGTGCCACCAGCCTCAGTTCCTATAAGCTATTTTTATGTAAATTTTATGTATGAGAGGACTTAGCTTGCTAGAATATAATTTTATTATTTCACCCAGTGGTCTTTGGCTGTTGCTTGCATGATCACGGGACTTAGAGATGCCTTAAGCCAGAGCAGAGTAAATTACAGTGGCTCCCTAAGCTATGGCGGTTGGAGTACCGCTGTGTGGCTTCCCTACCCAAAGCAACAGAAACCTTGGGAATAACCCCAGCTCAGAACTGAGTCCCACTAAAGATGCATCTGTGTTAAGCACTGTGTGGTTCAGATAGATTAAAAGCAGACACAGAGGTACTTGCAGGAATACAGACAGGAAAAATGGTCAAAATCTCAAGCCACAGACTAAGGTAACTCCCTCCCAGATGCCAGATACTTCTCTGTCTCTCCCTCTCTCCCTCCTCTTTCCTCCCTCTCTCCAGCTTTCCTGCATTCCCAATCCACATAGGTAACAGTCCCTATATTCATATACTATAATCCAGATGCCTGAAAAAAACCCACCTGTTTAGCTCAGGTCCAATCTCAAATTCCTTGAGAAGGACTCTGATTGACCCAGCTCTAGTCAGGTGCTCCAAGATCCCTGTGGGAACATGCAGTTTACAACCTGGTGAGCAGAGGGGAAGGAAGATCTCAATAGGACTCTTCAGTCCAAGTCCAGCAGCTCCCAGAAACCTCTTGCTGATCACTTACCTGTCACCCACTCCAGCTGGAAGACTTACATCCAAGGCTGGCCTCACTGCCTCGATCAGGCGACTGTGAAAGACTTGGACCTCAACATCAAGTACTCTGCAGTCAAGAATGCCAAATTCTGCTTCAAAGTCAGCTCTGCGTGAGGATACCACCTTGGCTCTGATGTCCCCACTCTGCCTTCTCTCTTCCTGTATTCAATTCCCCACCTCAGGGATATGGCTCACATAGCCCTGCGCAGGACATAGCCTCCTGCTCAGGCACTCCCAATTCCTGCAGGGCACTGGCTACCTTAGGGGTGGTGACTACATCAGGCAGGCAGACAGGGAAGGGTCTCCTGGAGCTCTGTGCCCTCTTCCTACACCTCCTTTCCTCCATCAGTTTTACAGAGCTGAAAATCAAGGGGATGCTGGACCGCACAGGGCTCTGGAGGAGTCTGAGGGAGATGAGAAGGATGTTCAACTTCCACAGCACCCCAGCAGCAGGTGAGGCACTGGAGCCAGGATCTTAATCTCTGTCTGGGACACCAGTTCCCACCACTGCCAGGAGGCTTGGAACACCAAAGACCAATTCACCTTGTGGCTTTGGGAAGGCTCGTTTCCCTTTCTAGCTCTTACAGTTCCCACAGAGACAATGGAGGTGGTAGATGGAGGGGACCCCTGACCTCCTAATCCAACAAATATCAAGGTAGCTATTGTTGGGGCTATGGACACAGGGCTCACAGTGAAGATGGACAGGGGTCACTAATAGGACTCAAAATCAGACCATTAGAGTTTCTTGGGAGACGTGCTCATTGGCTCCAGAATGGGACAGAAGGAGGACCCACTTTAGCCTTCAGAGGTCCTGGAAAGCACTCCTAATGAGGTTGAGTAAGTATTAACAGCTCTGAGGATAGGGGGCATAGGGTAGAGACAGCTTCAGGCTCAAGGGACAGCAAATAGGCAGGTCTTAAAGATGGAAGGGTAGGACACTTATAAGAAAGAAAGAAGCTGGGCTGGCTGGGCATGGTGGCACACACCTTTAATCCCAGCACTTGGGAGACAGAGGCAGGCAGATCTTTGCAAGTTCAAGGCTAGCCTGGTCTACATAGTGAGTTCCAGGACAGCTGGGGCTACAAGGAGACCTTGTCTCAAAAAGACAAAAAAAAGAGAGAAAGAGAGAAAGAAAGAAAGAAGCTTCTATGGCCCAAGTGGATTGAGTAAGGTGCCCATAGTGAGTGGGTTGTGGCAGGCTGGAACCTTTCCTCAACACAATGTGAGGCTAGTGACCAGTGGTTAGCTGGGGAATAGTATGACCAGAGATACTTTTATGGGGTGGGCTGGGGGCCAGAGTAGAAGCAGGAGGATTAGCCATGGGATTCTAGCTGAGGTCAGCAGAGACTAGTGGCTTCATCAAGGCAGTATATACAGGGATGGAGTAGACAGATGAGCCAAGAGACACTGAAGATGGAGGAGGAAGTCACTTCCTAGAGAGGTAGGTTCTAGACTCTGCTATGGACAGTCCAGTGCATGGACTTGCCATTCCCTGGGATGTCAGGCAGTGGGGGTAGGGGCTAAGCTGAAGGAAAAACCTATACTTGGCCTTTGGTATGTTGTATTTGAAGCTAATGATTCATTTAGGGTGGTGTCAGGTAGGTGGCAGGATGATGGACTGGGACTAAGATTTGCTTTTTGGTGAATAGGCTGTGCCAAAGCCAGGGGGAAGGGGAGGTCACCCTGAGAAATATATAGGACACCCAGGATGGGCAGAAGAAAACTCTGCCATGAAGGTTAGGAAGAAACCTCCTGGAGCTGTGGTCACTGGTCCCTGTGTCCTCCACCCTGCTGCAGAGTACGTGTTTGAGCACTGGCAGGAAGACGACTTCTTCGCCTCCCAGTTCCTAAATGGTCTCAATCCTGTCCTGATCCGTCGCTGTCGCAGCCTCCCAAAGAACTTCCCAGTCACTGATGACATGGTGGCCCCAGTGCTGGGCCCTGGAACCAGTCTGCAGGCTGAATTGGAGGTGGGGCACAGGCTCCCAACTCTGTAAAGTCTATCTCAGTTTCTTCGGACCTATCTCTGCTGGAGAGGGAGGAGTTATTCATATTTGTTAAGGTCTTACTGTGTTTTGCACACCAAGGTCATCCTCTGCTCAAATGCACTCCCCTCCTAATCTTGGGTCCTCTCTGTGCTACCTGCCCCCTGCTTTAGAAAGCAGGTGGCAGTGGCAGCTCCCCTCTCTCCTGCAGAAGGGCTCCCTGTACTTGGTGGATCATGGCATCCTCTCCAGCATCCATACCAATGTCATCAATGGGAGACCTCAATTCTCTGCAGCCCCAATGACTCTGTTATACCAGCGCCCAGGGCAAGGACCCCTGTTGCCCCTTGCCATCCAGGTCTGTAATGAGGCAGGGGGCAGGTGGTATGGCAGAAGTACAAAGGGCCCCACTGAATGGCTGGCAGACACTGACACTGCCTCCCTTCCAACTGATCTCCCCCACCAGTTCAGCCAGTCCCCCGGGCCCAATAACCCCATCTTTCTGCCCAGTGATGACAAGTGGGACTGGCTGCTAGCCAAGACCTGGGTTCGCAATGCTGAGTTTTCTGTCCACGAGGCCCTCACACATCTGCTGCATGTGCACCTGCTTCCTGAAGTCTTTGCCCTGGCCATGCTGCGCCAGCTGCCCCATTGCCACCCTCTCTTCAAGGTTAGTGTCTCAACAAGGAGGCCTAGGCTTCTCCCCAATCCTACAGACCCCCGAGCTTTATCCTGTACCTCGTGGTGCCTCTTCTAAGCAGCCTTTCCCCAGGTGGGCATGTCCTTCCAGACTGGGATGCAGCACCCCAATTCTGATTGAAGAACACAGAGTAGGACCTGCATCCAGGGCCTGAGAGAACAGCTAAGCGGAAATTAGAAAGTCCAAGAAGCCCTGGGAGGGGCAGTTCTGCTCTCAGAGGAGATGTCTTAACTCCATGAAGGAAATGAATGTGTCCTCTGAGGGCTCCATAGGGCCCTGCTCTGTGTTCTTCCATCAGGTTGAGTTCCTGACCATCTTCAGCTCCTAGTCACTCAGAGGTGGGCTCTGGGGTACAGCGCCACATTTCCAGGCTTTTCATAGTGCTCTACTTGTCCCAGAGATAGGACATCACAGGAAGTTGGAGCTGGAAACCTAGGAAGCGCATAAGGTCTTTATTTGGGAAAATGATCTGGTGTTCAGAGGATGCGGGACAAGGTGGGGCTCAGCACCCATGACTGGGCTGGGAGCACTGTTGCCTGTTTCAAGCTGCACCCTAGAGTCCCTGTTGACTCTTTCTGGCTGACCCACAGGTGGGTGGCTCTGTGGAAGCAGGTCTGGTCCTCCCCAGCTACGCCATCTCCTCCCTCTTGCAGCTGCTGATACCCCATATCCGGTACACGCTGCATATCAATACCCTCGCCAGAGAGCTGCTCATTGCCCCTGGGCAGGTGGTAGACAGGGTAAGAGGTGCCTTAGGAAGGGTGGGGGGCATTCTTTAATTGGAAGAATACAAAGTTCTGGGGTGGGAGTGGCTCCATCTCTAACACCAGAGCTGTTGCCTGCTTTTTTGCTTGCATGTTTATTTTTGGTTTTTGAGACAGGGTCTCCCTGTAGCCCCAGCTGGCCTGGAACTCACTATGTAGACCAGGCTGGCTTTGAACTCTTGGAGATCTGCCTACCTCTGCCTCCCTGGGATTAAAGGCGTGTGCCTCCACACTGTTTCCAGCATTTGAAGCAAGGTTCTAGTGCCCAGAAGTTCTTTCTTTTAGTCCACAGGCCTTGATGTTGAAGGATTCTCTAAGCTAATAAAGAGAAATATGGAGCAGCTGAACTACTCTGATCTGTGTCTTCCTGAAGATATCCAAGCCCGAGGAGTTGAGGACATCCCAGGCTACTACTACCGGGATGATGGGATGCAGATCTGGGGGGCAGTGAAGCGGTGAGGGAACTATCTCCAGGAGGCCCCAGGGGCAGGGGAGATAGGAAAATTGGGCAGGAAAAGGGGAACCCTGTAGAGATTCACAATGAGGAGGGCTGAGCATGAACAACCCTGGGCAAAGGCGCTTCACAGAGAGGATCAAGTTTGGAGGCAGGGACTGACCCGGGTTCACCTTGCAGCTTTGTCTCTGAGATAGTCAGCATCTACTACCCAAGTGATGTATCTGTTCAAGATGACCAAGAGCTCCAGGCCTGGGTGAGGGAGATCTTCTCTGAGGGCTTCCTCAGCCGGGAAAGCTCAGATACAGGGACCTCAGCCCTTGGGCCCCACCCTCTGGCCTCTGCAATGAGGTCCTCAAGTTCCCTGCAGCCCTAGCCCCAGCCCAGCTCTTCCTACAGGTGTGCCTTCCTCATTGGATACTCAGGAAGCCTTGATTCAGTATGTCACCATGGTGGTATTCACCTGTTCAGCCAAGCATGCAGCTGTCAGTGCAGGCCAGGTGAGGAAAGGTGGGCAGGGGGATGGAGGGGCTAGAGTCTCAGCCTCATTCTGTCTTGTTGGCCTTTAGTTTGACTCCTGTGTTTGGATGCCCAACCTGCCACCTACCATGCAGCAGCCACCACCCACTTCCAAAGGCCAGGCTTGGCCTGAGGGTTTCATAGCCACCCTCCCACCAGTCAATGCCACATGTGACATCATCATTGCCCTCTGGTTGCTGAGCAAGGAGCCTGGGGACCGAGTGAGTGTGGAGCTAGGAATTAAGCCAGATTGAGCTGGACTGGGGAAGATGCGTTCTTGGCCAAAACTCAACCCTGCCATCAAGATTCCTTCACTCCACTGAACCTTCCCAACGGGACACATCACCCTTGAACATCTCACAGTGAGGATCAGGTGGCCAAAAGAGACGACAGAGTGTCACTCTAAGCAATGACGTCTCCTTTAAATCTTCAAATTAAAAATTCCAGGACCTTTCAGATAATCATCCCCTAAAGAATAGCATAGGGGAGGGGCAGACTGCTTCAGGTGCCTGGGCAGGAGGATGGCCTGGGGCTACAGCCAGCTAAAGTTGGTTACAGCTGCTCAGAAGATGGGGGCCTGCCAGTCCCAGCACTTAGGAGGCAGAGGCAGGTGGATCTCTGTGAGTTCAAGGCTGGCTTAGTCTACATAGTGAGTTCCAGGCCATCTGGGGCTATAGGGAGACCCTGTCTCAAAAAGACCAAAAAAAAAAAGCCAGGCATGGTGGTGCACACCTTTAATCCCAGCACTCAGGAGACAGAGGCAGGTAGAGCTCTGTGAGTTCAAGGCCAGCTTGGTCTCCATTAGCGAATCCAGGCCAGCTGAGGCTACAGGGAGACCTTGTCTCAAAAAGACCGAAAAAAAAAAAAGAAAAAAAAATGATGGGGGCCCTAAGAAACCCAACCTTTTGATTTTGTCTCCAGAGACCCCTGGGCACATATCCAGATGAACACTTCACAGAGGATGCCCCCCAGCGAAGCATCCTTGCCTTCCAGAGTCATCTGATCGAGATCTCCAGGGACATCAAAGAGCGGAATCAAGGCCTGGCATTGTCCTACACCTACCTGGACCCTCCCCTCATTGAGAACAGTGTCTCCATCTAAAACCTTAGAGAAGATGGCCCCATGTGACATCCATCCCTTTGACATGTCCAGGCTGTCACCTGGAAAAAAAAGGACCCTTCAGAAAAACAGGCTTCCCACCATGTGCTTCTCCTGGACAACCAAGTCTCACATAACCCCTCACTTACATACACACAACTGAGAAACAAAGCCAAAACAGAGAAACCAAAAATCCCACAGAGAACAGAATCTCATGGGATAAGACCACCAAAACTTTTGGAGACACCAAAACCGTAGCCCCTATGACCAGTTTTGCTAGTTTGCTTTGTTTTGCATTATGTTACTGTGGAGTATAACAGAAGCACAGAATCCTATTCCGCTGACCAGAGCCAGCCCCATCTCACAGTCAACCTAACTCAAAGGCAGCACAAGAAGAGCCTAACTGAAAACCTACCCAAGAGGGTGCTCATAGCCTACTGCCTCACCTTAAAAATGAACAGAACATCTTTTTCATTCTCATTTTCTTTTTTAATAATCATGAGACATAATAACATTAACAAATAAATTTTCTAGCTGTTGTGAGAATTCTTTTCCTGGGGATACTAAGCAATGCTTATCCCCTTTTATGGTTCTAGTGTCAAACCAATGTTTGATTAAAGTTTTCCTGGGGAACCAATGATTTACTGAGCTTACTTACAGAGATGACTGAGGGATTGCTGAGGTGCATGAGTGACCTGAGGGTATGCACACTGGAAATCCTTTAACCAGCATGGATCAAGCCTTCTCTTCCTAGTCTTCCCCAGATTATATACTTTAGTCCTCCCCAAATCCAGGAGGCCATGTGTGATTAGGGCCAAATTACATACAGTTGGCTGGGAAGAGTGCTGGATACTCTGGTGAGGGTCCAATGACCCTGCTTGCCCCTCCTTTAATGAAGGAGCACAACCATCAACAAGCCCAATTGTGACGATGTTTAGCAAGCATGCACCGCTGAAGTCGTGATGATGGTAGTTATTTCACCCAGAAGAGATTGATGTACAGCATCATCTTATTAAAAGAACATGGAATTTAAAAGGATTTGGTGCTAGGATCCACAAATGAGGGAGAACATATGTCTTTTGTTTTTCTGAGTCTGTGTTACTTCACTTAGTATAACAGTTTCTAGATCTATCCATTTACCTACATGCTCTGTTTCCTCCCTCTCCAGGAAGTAGTGAATGCCAAGGCTGGAAGAAAGTCCAGCTGACAGACGCAAGTCCTAGCCACACATACTCTGCTCCCTCTTGCTCTAGGGTAACCAGAGTGGAGAAAGAGGAAGGAGAAGGGAGGGGAAAGAAGGAGTCTTCACAGCAAGTGGAGATTTCCCTCATGAGATGTGCCACACATTGAGACTAAAAGGACGCCTTGGTGTAAGGAAGCCTGGTGTCATGACCAGTAAAGAGTTTGCCAAGACATAGACAGACAAATGTATTATTGAAATGCACTGTAAGAGAGCAAAGGCAAGTTCCTAGAGAAGAGATTGTGAACTGAAGTGTGGAGTGGGGGGCACCTGTGTTAAAGATTCTACAAGGAGGCTGATCAACTGGTTAGAACCTCTGTGCTGGGCTAGGGAGATGGCTTTGCAGTTAGGAGCACTTGATGTTCTTCCAGAGGACTTAAGTTCAGTTCCCAGCATCTATATTGGGTGGCTCATGACTGCCTATTTCCAGGGAATTGAAAACCCTCTTCTGGCCTCCATAGGCACTTACAGGCATACAACTATAAAATAATTTTTTTAAGAAAGGAATAGGGGCTTGGAGAGATGGTTCAGGTGTTAAGAGCACTGACTGCTCTTGCAGAGAACCCTGGTTCGATTCCCAGCACCCACATGGCAGCTAACAACTGTCCTTAACTTTAGTTCCGAGGGATCAAAAGTCCTCTTCTGGCCTCCAAGTGCACACGTGTGGTGAGCTTATATACATGCAAGCAAAACACCCTCACATAAAAATAAACCAATCCAAAAACTGTTAAATATATATATATATGGAATATTAAGTCTATGTCAGCAACCTTCACAGCAAATGTTAATTACACTGAAAATCTTGCTTCTCAGACGGTAAGAGTCTTCAGCCAGACTATAGGGGGATGGGTTCCTTTCCCTCTCTGTGTCCTCATAATTTTCCCCATCTTTCTGCTCTGCCTCAAAGACATGTGAGTCCTGTGCCATTGAAGAGCTTCCTCCTCCTTAGTCAACCTTCCATCTCCTATATGCTCTGCATCTACAAGACCACTGTGGATGGGGTAGAAGACTGGCCATGGGACTCCTCTCCTCCCTCCTATGGGACTCGTTACCATGGGACCTGCCTATCACTTAATTGCTCTGCTTATTTTGTTCCCATGACTGCGGACTACGCTAATCTGTAGGCCCAAGTTTCCTTCCTCCCTCTCCCTCTCCCTCTCCCTCTCCCTCTCCCTCTCCCTCTCCC